GTACCCCCAACCATCCCGTATCATCCCGGCAACGGACGAAAGCGTCGAGATCGTGTCCTGCGCGGCTGGCGTGATCGCGAAGCATTCGACGGCATGACGTGGTAGTGGAGTCGGCGTGCTAGCTCCACTCCCGCAAGGCTGAATATATATCTCCAGAGCGTGGCATGGTCGAGATAGCCGCGGGTGGCATGCACGTTGTGCTGCACTGCCTGCAGCTGCCAGCGCAAAGGGTACTGTCGGCCGTCGGAGTGTGTTCGGACATGTTGAGGTTCAACAGACGCGGGGCGGGGTAAACCGCGACGCTAACATCACGTTTGATCAACATTTCATGTTTCAAGGCGGATATCGGAGCGGAGAGAAGACGACCGAAGTCAGCAGAAGGTCCAGTCACGCGTGCAGTGAGGAGGAATGAGGGTGTGAACGCAGCGCATGTGCAGCCCGTGTGATAAGAAGAGGCTGTCTACTATCCAACCTCCCACCACATGGGGGCTACATGCTGCACATGAGAGTACATCCTGCACATGGGCAGAGCAGCTGGTGAACGGTACCAGGTTTTTCAGTGCAGTGTGCCAAAATCTGCTGTTGGTGCTGTGGACCCAATCACTACTGGCGGGCTTCGCGCGATAAGACGACACGCACCGCACAACACCACCACTGTTCTCGGCCCTGGCTAGTGTACCTAACAATAAACCTTCTGGATTGTCTTCTGGCCTGTCCTGTTCGTCTCACAGGACTCGACCCCGCAGTGACACAGCTTCGGTTCGCTCGCTTCATGGCCAGCAGTTCGACACCCTGGCCCTCCCACCGTGAGGGTGCCACTATGAGGACGCCGCCATGAGGGTGCTGACAGCGCGCTCTGCACCAGCGATCAAAACACGTCCCTCTCCACTCCGCCAATGCACGCAAACCCACCTCCCCACGCCCTCACCGAATCGCAGGGTGACGCGTGCCATGCGTGGAGCTCACTTGGCCCTACGTGGAGTCTCACTTGGTGACAGGCACACCGCTCGGCGATACTGCGACTCCGCTTCTCACGCGTGACGTGTTGTTTATGCGCGTCGAGTGGGCAACAACACAGAACTTTCTTTTCCCCTCCTCGCAATCACCACAACACATAAGCGGCGGATGTCTGCGAGTAAAGCGTCTGGAGGGCGGCTGGGTCGATTCGACTTTGATGTCATTCCCATGGTTTGGGAGGGCGTTGTGCAGTGTGGAAGCCATGCAGCGTCAACGGCCCGCACCCGCTAGCGAGCCATGTTTTCTTGGCGTAAACAAAGCTGGACCGCCGAGGAGCGCCCTCCGCAGCCGAATTATTATGAGGCCATTGGCACGCCGTAGATAGTTTGCAACCGTGTTCACAAACCCAATTGCCCTCTGCACAAAGCAAAAATTGATCTCCGCCGCACCCCACCTACACCGCCCCGCTGCCGTTCGCTCCATCTCGAGTCAGTGGAGCTGATGTTTTCTTGCACTGCCTCGCCCGACGACCTCCGCCGGTAGCAATTTCAGCTTCAATCTCCCCACGCAACGATCCCATAGCACCTAAACTCGTCGCCCTCGTGGGCCTACCCAACCATGGACGACGGTCCTCCACCTCCGCCGCCTCCGCATGGCGCAAACCCAAAGACTACAGGCGGTAGCCATGCACCTCCCGACCCCGGCCCAAGCGGCGGCCTGCCACCGGGCAACTACGACATCTTCATCATACCGCCGCACTCTTCAGGAGGCGGCTTCGTATACCTCCCAAGCATGGGCGTGCAGCAGAACAGCTTCATTGCGGGTGTGCTCAGCACCATCGCGAGCATCGTGCTGTGGAAGGCCGCCGAGCCTTACATGAAGCAATATTTCCTCATCGTCCGACATGGAGTGACGACTGGCGGCAATGGCGTCATACTGCTGGCTGTCTTGATGTTGGTTGCAGGATGGGCTGTTGGCCAGACACAAGCAGGGGGTCGCTTTAGCAGTGGCGGAGGGGGCTATGGCCGTGGTGGAGCAGGAGCGGGAGCTGGCACACATACACCAGGCGGAAGCTCAAGCTATCAACGAGCGCCTCCACCACCGCCTCCAAACGGCGGCTTCCCCGGCAGTCCTCCACCTCACGGCGGATGGGGTGGATACCGCCAATACGGGGCTGGCTCGCCGCCACCACCACCTCAAGACGACGAACCTTCCTTCGACGAAGAGGCTGAGCGAGCCGAAGAAGAGCGGAAACAAGCAGAGGAAAAGGAGAAGCGGCGGAAAGAGAAAGAGGAGAAGAAACGGAAAGAAGAGGAAGAGCGCAAACAGAAAGAGGAAGAGCGCAAGAAAGCTGAGGAGGCTAAGAAGAAGCAAGAAGAGGAAGAGGCCGAGCGCAAGCGCGCCGAAGAGGCAGAGGAGAAGAAGAAACAGGAAGAGGAGCTTAGGAAGAAACAAGAGGCGGATCTCAAGAAGAAGCTCAAGAAGGAGCTCAAGGAGGCTGAGGAGGCTAAGCGGAGAGAGGAAGAGGAAGAGCGCAAGCGTGCTGAAGAAGCCAAACGACAGGCCGAAGAAGAGGCTCGACGGCAGCGTGAAGCTGAAGAGCAGAGGCTAGCTGAAGAAGAGAGAAAGAAGCGTGAGGCTGAGGCACAGAGACTAGCCGAAGAGGAGAAGAAACGACAAGAAGAAGCTGAGCGCCAACGCATCGCAGAAGAGGAACGCAAGGCCGAAGAAGAGCGCAAACTCGCCGAAGAGGCTCGGATACGCGCTGAAGAGGAGAAGAAGAAGAAGGACGAAGAGGACCGCAGACGAGCCTGGGAAGAACTCAAGCGCGCAGAAGAGGCCCGACAGAAGAAGGAGGCCGAAGAAAAGGCCAAAGCAGAGGCAGCCAAAGCCGCCAAAGCCAAAGCCGAAAAGGAGAAGTGGGAGCAGATGCGCAAGCGTGAGCGCGAGCAACGCGAACGTGAAGCCCGCGAGCGTCTCGCTAAAGAGAAAGCCCGCAAGGCACAAGAAGCCATTGAGAAGGAGAAGGCCGAACGCGAGGCTCGCGAGGCTGAGGTCCGCGCTGCAGTCGAGAAGGAGATCCGCGAGAAGCTCGAAGCCGAACAACGCGCCAAAGCCGCCGAGGAGGCCGCCAGAAAGGCTGAAGCAGAAAAGATTGCAGCTGAAGAGGCAGCCGCCAAAGCGAAGGCAGAAGCAGAGGCTGCTCTCGCCAAAGCAAAGACAGATGCTGAGCGCGCCGAACGCCTCAAAGCAGCCCGTGAGCGAGCTCAGAAGGACCGTGAAGCCCGCGAGGCAAAACTCAAAGCAGAAGCCGAACGTATCAAAGCCGAAGCCGCTACCGCAGCAGCCACAGCCGCAGTTCCTGACCTCACTGCCCGTCGCTCAACTACGTATGGTAATGTCGGTGGAGGTGAACGTCTCGATCCATATGCTGGAGCAAGAAGTACACCACCACCCGCCGCGTCCGTTACATCCACACACTCCTCCCCCATCAAAGCCACCGTCACACCCAAGAAACCCTACGAGCGACCAACCGCCGCCTCTTACCTCGGCTCCGAATCCGACGCCGCATCTTTCGTTCCACCCCGAACTGCCACGGGTCCTGCCCGATCAACAGCAACGCGCTCTCATGTCTCGTCCGCGTACTCCGAGTCCTCGTACGCGCCCTCACAATCTACAACTCGCACATCGCCGCCTGCGTCGAGAAGTGGACCGTACGCAACAGCCGACCCGAACAAGATTGTTATCAAAGCGGTGTACCTGTTCAATGATCTTTTTCCCAAACCAGTGGCGCAGCTGGTGTCTAATGTGGGCAAAGTAACAGACGGCTTGATTCTCAAGATACAGTCTGAAGGTTTGTTCATCGATGACGATGTCCGGGGCATTCCGCAGCGCGAGTGGGATGTTAAGGCTTGGACTTTGAAGATGGTTGAGGTATGTCATTCTCTTTTCTTTCTTCCTTACCTCATCCATCGCCTTTACTCCCATCCTTATTACTTTGGTTGAGTGTGTACTAACATATACAACAGACGGGCAAACAACCCACCAAAAACCTGCACATCCTCCGCGCCTCGGTCCGCGATGCCGACGGCAAGAAATACGTCTTCCTCATCGACGAGACCGAGAGCTGGAAACTGGCTCTTGGCCTGCAGAGGCTGAGGAAGGGAAGTCAGGTGCGCAGTTTGCAGAGCGCGCAGATGGCGCCGAATGAGATGGCGAGGGTGTTGAATGCTGTGCCGCCTATTGCTTTGTAGATCATTGATCACAAGCAGTGGGGCAGAAAGAGGAGGGTGAAGAGTCGAGAAAGAGGTAAGGGAGAGTGTTGATAAGATGGCATGGCATGGTACAGTAGTATGGGTGGTGGATTTGGGATACCCACTTTCGTTCCGCATAAAGCATCAGCGGTGGAGTTGTTGTTGTTGTTGTTTGTTTAGCAACGCATTGTTACGAGCGCATTTTTGTACTCTTCTTTCTTTCGTTGTATATGCATCTTTGGGTGGTGGAAAGGGGGAGAGATGAAGGAAGTATATATCGCAACTACATATTGGCGCTGGTTTAGGGGAGTGGGGGTAGATAGGTGTTTTGGGTGTATGTAGGATGGTGGAATGGATGTGTGGGATGTGATGTGGTCTCAAGTTTGGAGTTGTGTGTGTCGTCATGTCGTGATGTCTATTCACTTGCTGTGTCGTGAAGGGAGGACATCTTGCTGATATCAGGCGATGGAGTGAACGCTATGGGACTGCACCTAAATATTCGGTTGTTTTCCAGAGCTAGACAAGGAGTAAGTGAAAGTGCAAATTCATTGTACAGAAACAAAGGCTTATCGTTCCTGAATATCTAGTGCTGGTGCTAAACTTCGAGCGGGATCTAACTCAAGTACGCAACCGTGCACGACCCTGAACCGTTGAAGCTCCTTCCGTCATCCCGAAACTCCACACGTTCGCTGCTGCAGCCCAACGTCATCAGTCCACCTACCCACCAACCCACCATCCATCTATCCCCAAATCGATTTCGTTGCGAACCACACTTGTCGCGTGCGCACAATGTCATCCGACTACGGATCAGACATTGACTCCGACGTCGCAGATGCCGTCGACGAGATTGTTTCGTCGCAGCAAGCTCCCCCTTCCTCCGCGCAAATACCACGACCTGCGCTAAAGCCACTCAATACAAACACTTCCCTTACACCTCCGTCATCCCACGATAAATACGATGGAACTACTCTTCAGCAATGGCACCAAGCTGCATCAACCCCGCCGCCCTCGGCCTCGTCGTCGGATGCCGAACCGTATCGCCTGACGTTTGGCAAACATGAGGGCAAGACGCTTGCGGAGATACCGACGTCTTATATTACGTGGTTGATTAGGAATCCGATTTCGAGTAGGCCGATGGAGTTGATATATGCGTTGGAAGAGTGGCAGGAGGAGAAGAAGAATGGGAGAAAGGCGGCGTCGCAGTCGCAATCGCAGTCGCAGGCATCGCAGGCATCGCAGGTACCGATGTCGCAGACACAGGCGTCACAGATGTCGATGTCTTCGAAGATGCCGCTTTCCCCACCGCCGTCTCAAGTTGACCAGGCCGCTCCTCCATCGTCACAGCCTGCGGTCACGAGCACGCACATCTCCAAATATACCTCTCCTCCTTCGCCTTCTCGCTCGCCGTCACCACCGCCTAGCACACAACAGTCATATCCTCCTTCGTCACAGCTCACGGCACCTCAAGAACCGACTGGTGCACCCCTATACGTCCTTCCATTCGGCGAATACAAAGGCAAGACTCTGCTCGAGGTACCAGAGGACTACCTCTACTATCTTGGTGCGAGCGAAGATAAGTTGGCTACTTTGCCTGGTTTGTCTAATGCGCTCTGCTTGATGCAGAAAGGCTTACCTCCAGTCGCTATGGCACCCTCGGCCCCAAGTCAAGCTTATTCGCAAGCTCTGCCACCGCCATCATCCGCACCTGGCCCGTATATGGGACATGAACCGCCTGCCTCTAGTCAGCTCTCACAGATGAGCCAACCACAGCAAGCTCCGCCACCACCTTCGACTGCGCCTAGCCATCATTCCCTCTGCAAAGACGGCATCCCGAGTAGTTCGCAGCCTCTCGCACCGCAGCTCTCTGCCTCGCAACCGACCCCACAATCCTCCTCACAACCTCCACCCTGTCGCGAACCATACCGCTTCGACTTTGGCAAGTACACCGGGAAAACCATCGCCGAAGTCCCTCCCTCCTACATGGCCTACCTTGACAAAGAAGGTGTCATCAAGCAACGTCCCGACCTTGCCGCTGGAGTCGATGAGTACGAGCGCCATCACCCACCCATCGGGACTCCGCACAAGGGAGAATACAGGTTCACATTTGGCAAGCATGTGGGGAAAACATTGGCGGAAGTGCCCTCCCAGTACATCTGGTGGCTCAAGAACAACACCACTATTTCCAAGGACAAACCTGAGGTTGGTGCTGCTATTCGGCAGTTTGAGCGGACTCAGAAGCATACTCAGGCTAAGACTCAGAATCGGAGGCGGCAGAGGGCTTGGTCTCCGATGTGCTCATGTTGTGATTGAGCGCCCATTGCAAGAATGCCTTACACCCCGTTCAGAGGAAGAATATGCATACAAGTCGCGGTCTCTCGCATTCATGGGTTCGGGTGGCTCCTCCACGCTTGCTCAAGGCGGCACATCAACGCGACAACCCCTTCTACCTCCGCGATAAGCTGCAGGTCGATAAGGCTAGTGCAAGAGACTGATACATGCTTGCTGGCCGTTGCGACCATTCGCCGCCATGCGGGGCCTCGCTGCTATCGTCGTGCGGCACGCTCTTTCATCATGCATAGCATGGGTCAATCGCCTATCTCCTCTCGTTGTTATGCACTAGTCATACTAGTTGCGGGATGCATCTCACGGGCATCAGAAAGGAATACCTTGACGCGGCGAACACGCAAGTCATGGTTTTCATTCATATCGAAAGCGCTCCCACCCAGGGCATACTGTCGCTGAGACTCCACAACATCCGTCTCAACTTTTCGATGGCCAAATCCTCCCGTAACCCCACGCGCCGACCCTTGGAAAGACTTGATTCTTGTAGATAGCAAGTCTACACTGTGTAGATAGTTTATTTGGTCCTTGATATGATGCCTGTGGAGTGGATGGATGTCACAGTTGTCGTTTGTCATCTTAACAGATTCACCAACGACAGTTGTGACATCCGCTCACTAGTCAGGCATCACGTCGGGGACCAAACCGGTCAACAGATGGAGATTGTATAACAATTACATGTATTTTGTATCATGGGCTTTGTATACAGGCTATGATCAGCAATGTGGATGTTGCTCGTACCAACAAATAGTCCATGTTGCGGCCTTTATGCATTGGGAAACCATACCATCCTTCTTTGCTACGCATTAACCAGCGCCTTCTGTCATTGGCAGCGCTGAACAGGGGTCGCGAGAATGTACATGAGAGGCTGAGCAGGCGCTGGACGTTGCGAGGCCAGGCGACCCGTTGCTTAGCCGCAGCCAACGAGGCTGAGGCGTCTAATCTTTAGCATTGCCACCCAATGCCCCAGATCAAAACCAGCGCATGCCGGCTCTAAGGCCGTAGCTCCCGGTCTCAACTTTTCTTCCTGACACAAATTCCATATCATGGCTCCTGGTGACACAGCAAAAACGGTTATCAGATTCGCGCGCTTCAAGAACGCGGTTCTTGAGCTCTTCGAAGCACCTCTTGAATCCACCAATTACATTGCTTTCTCTCATGTCTGGGGCGACTGGGCCTGGGTTTCGATCCAGGGCATACCGTACGAGGTCAAAGCATCACAAGAGAAGGCACATTTTATCGCAACCCGCCTTCCCGCCTTGGTGGGTGATGGTGCCTTTTGGATGGACACGTTGACAGTCGATCAGCGAAATCCAGTTGAAGTCTCAGAGATCGTGGATGCCATTCCCGATATCTTCAGGATGGCAAAGAAGACAATGGCGGTCAGGGAATGCGACGGATTTCATGACTGCTGCATCGCTGCTGTTGCTGGGTTCAAAAACTCCACGGACTTTACCGAAAGACTCTATGATCATAGCCGTGACCGTATCGACCATCTCTGGGCTGAGTCGTACCTTCAGAGACTGTGGACCCTGCAGGAGTGCTTACTCTCTCATACGATTGAGTTTGTGGTTGGAGATCACAGTACGTTAAAGCAATTTGCTTGTTGCTTGTGGTTGACCAAAGCTTAGACCAACCCAAGGAGCTCGCGATGCGGGAGCGGGCTCGCGACGATAGTGATATTAACCAGTATGAGTCAGAATGCATGACTCTCGCGTCTGCTCTTTTGGTTCTAGCCTACTCTTTCTCTGGCTTTCAGGGCAACACCGCCATACATAAGTTTGTCGAAGCTTATGTTTATGGAGGGACCGTTATTAATTCACGTAGCGTAAAGCGTAGACTGGATGAAGACATCCACTCGGGTCATTTTCTACCGGCGAACCGCGCATCGCGTAGATCAGCTACTATGCCTCGCGACTACATCTTTGCGACCATGCCTTCTTTCCCATGGTATACATATCCGAAGAAAGAGGCCTTGGCGATGTCATTCGGAAAGATTTATCTGGATCTCTATCAACAAGCTGAACGGTCTGGACATGCTTTTACATGCAGGTTCACTCGTTCAATGCTTGATCCTGCATGCACAGATCCCACGGACGGTTGGCGACCAAGCCAATATATTCCAAGTCCGACGACGCTCGGCGATTTCCTCAAGCTGATGGGACAACGCGTACCCGAGGCTTCGAACGCCTTTTCACGGCATGTACACATTACCTCGGATGTTCAGATCAAGGAACTAGAAAGCGAATGCTCGCCAGACATTTTCATCGCCCGGCTAGAAGCCTGTTTTAAACAGTGCCAAATGCAATGGCTGGAATCATATGGGGGTGGTGAGCTTGCCAAATTCGGACATCTTCCGGATCATCGTTGGAAGCTCGATCACGCCGATGCCATGAGCTGCGGTTGGCTGCCCATTGATCCAGAGGATGCGATACGAGTGTCCGATGACAGAAGTCACTCTTGTACGAACATTGCCCCTGGACTGGGCTTCGTGGAAGACGAAAGTATAGCGGATCTCAGGAGCCTTGATCAGACTGAGCAAGAGGCGCGCATGAACGAGGCTAGCGAGTACGTACCACTCTTTGTGCAGGCCAGGAAGATGATACTCTACCTAATGAACAAGGAATATGAGATGCATCAGATGAGTAAAGCGCCGCGAGCAGATTGGGCCTACCTCAAGCAACAGATGCAAGGTCTCTCGTCAACACCATTCCTATGTACCATGCTCCTCCTAGCTGGCATGGTCAATTGTCGCATTCCATTATCTGCCGCTGCGTGGGTCAACAAGCTCTTCGTCCCCGTATTCATTCGCCACCACGAAACCTTTGTTTCCGTCGGGCTTTTGGCAAAGCATGCACGCCAACCCAAGCATCAAAGACAAGAGCCTCTTTCCTTGTTATGTGTCGGTCAACATCTGCCTCCGCCCGATGAGAAGTCTTTCGGAAATGAGTTGTTTCTCGTAGATCCAGAAACCAAGGTGCCGGTTGGCTTGGCCCCTGATATGAGCTCTGAATTTCACACGGATGAGGAACTGGCAAAAGTCGCGCTTTCTTTGTATAATGGCTGTTGTACGGAAGTGGGAGACAACAAAGTGGCTATCACTCCCCGTCTACTCTCTGATGGGCTGTCTGTCCCTAGAGAGACTTATATCGTGGGTCCTCTAGGCGGTTGAGTGTGGATGCCGACACGGGATTCTGTTTAGCTCTCGGATGAATTAAACCACTTAGAGAAACTATCCTCTGCATATGATATGCGGTGAGAAGTTCCGATTAACTGCAATGGATGCAGAGTACTTTAGCGCGCTCTTGAACACTATCTTTCTGGTGTTTCTCTTCCCTCCGACCCTTCACTATCCTTCTGGAAAAAGCGTTCTCCAGGCAACTAACCACTCGTAACCACGCCAAGATCGCTTGCTTACCCGCCTTCTTCTCAACCGCTTATTGCTCAACTGTTTCTCACTCAACCGCTCCTTCCTCAACTGCATCTCACTCATCTCGCAGCTGCAATGTCTGAACCAATCTATACACGTCGTGGAAATATACTCATTCCTGGTGGTTTCCAAGTCTCTGCAAAGCAGCCCACTCCAGCAAACAGTAAGTGCGCGCCCTCTCCTTACCATCTGCACTACCCTGGCTGACTATGCACCAGAGATGGCAGTTGAGAAACATCACAAGTTCATGGATCCCGCGTCGAGCGTGTCTAGTAACCCGTTTCACAAACCGCGCCCTATCGAGTCGGAGTCCGCCGAGAAGCTTGAGGCGCAGAAGGCCGACTACGAGGCCAGGATCGCCGACATGAGCAAAGTGTACCAGGCCAACTTCGAGAACACTATCAAGGACTACGAGGCCAAGCTCAGCGAGAAGGAGAAACTCCAAGAGATCGAGATTGAACGCGTGAGGGACTTCATCGGGCATGATGTCGTCGACATAAAGAAAAAATCCGAGACCAAGCTCAACCACCTCGCCGAGAACTACGAGGCCAAGATTGCCCACTTAGAGAGCGAATCGCAGTCCAAGCTCGAGAACACCATCAAGCACTACGAGACCAAGCTCTACGACCAGAGGAAATCCGAGCTCACGCTCAAGGGCATACAAACGGACTACAAGACCAATATTGCAGAGATGGAGGAATATAATGCCAAGCTTTGTCACTCTATCAGCGAGCACAAGACCAGGGAGAGCGATATGAAAAAGCAGTACGAAACCAAGCTTAACGACGAAAAGAAACACTGCGACTGGCTGCTCAAAGAAATAAAGGGTGAAGTAGCCGCCACAAATAGCTCTTAAGATATCTTGCTAACTTATTACTAGTATGTAGCTCCTTTGCTATGCTTTCCTAACGCAGTGCTAAGACATTTTATAATTCATGCTAATAGCTTGACAGAAGAACTATGAGATCCAAATCGACACGATCAAGAAGGAACACGCACTAGAGTCTGAAGCCGCGCAGGAGGACTACGAGGCCGACCTCGACAGGCTCAATCAGAGCTCTGCGATTCTGCAACGTGCTTTCGCCGACCAGAGCTTGGAACTTGCAGCGCTCAAGGAGACAAAGACCAAGGAAGCCGACTTCCTCAGCAAGTCTGCCCAGCCAGACGCGGAAGCAAAAGATGCAGGCCTGCTCGCTGACAAGAAGCCGGATACCAATGACAAGAAGCCCGAGATCGACGCCCTCAAAGGCACTATCGACGCCCTCAAGGACACCGTCAGTATACAAATGGTAGCCGCAGAAGATCTCCGCGAGACTGTCAAGGACCTCCGAGAGCGCAATGCAAAGCTCGAAGCAGAGCTTCAGAAGAAGTAGGGTGAGACCCGACAGCTCGGCGCTGACACTCTCATGACAACTGGGTAACCCTGGAGATTCTCCGTGTAGCTACAAGATGGTCGTAGAGTATGAAAATGCTGTAACTAGTTTCAACTTCTTTTGACGACACCGTGAATCACGTAAGTTCTGATGTGCAGTGTGGATGTATCAAGCCGACGCCTAGACGTAAAGACGCTGCGACGATTGGTAGACTCCCCTAGATATCGACGAAACTGATAGATATGGGACCGCACGTGTGAGTCGCTTGACGTACAGAGTCAGCAGTGACTACTGGTCTCACACGTTAGCAGCTAATACATGAGGACTACATCTTCCTCCTCTACCGCATAACACTAGCAGAAGCATCTCCAAACTTGCGCTCATATCTCAAACTTGAAGGTGAACGAGATTTAATTAGCTCCTCGCTTGATCCGCTGCGCACTGTCAGATTCCAGCTTTTCCTGCGTCCGTTTCTCCCTCCACCGACTCCGGGTCACTGGTTCCTCCGCACCACAAAGCCGCTTAAAAACCCATCCAGCCAAGTCGAGCGACCGCACCAGGCCTACTGTACCGCCATCTCGGCTGCGCATCTTCGAAATCTCAGACGAGGTTTTCACAATCACAGTGACCCCCGACACAACCCACTACTTCACCGTCGCCAACCGCCTACAATGGCCACGATGAACACCACACCTTTACTCAACACGCGTGCCCCCGCTTTCAACGCCATTGCTGCTCGGGTGCAAGGCGCGGATGCGGACGATGAGGACATTCTCGAGCGGGATCAAGAGACGGACGATGAGGCGAGCGGCGACGAGGTCATCGGCGAATTCGATGAAAGCGACGTTGGAGACATGAGCGACGACCACGGCTCATCAACACCAAGCGTCAACACCCCAGTAGTATCCTTAGACTCGGACGACACAGCGTTCGTACAGGACATACTGGATTTGGAAGACTTGCCCGCCTTTGGTAAGTCATAATACTAGAGTCCCAGTCTTTCGCGTGCAGAATGCATGATCACTAACAGAGATGACTTAGGCGACGATCTGGACACCGCCAAATGGACAAAGCTCGCACTCTGGCAAGAAGGTGGATACGAGGGCATGCTGAAAGTACTTCTGAAGGATGAGATCGCGGCTCATTGTCACGACTCTGCTACAGCATCAAACACGGATGAGCAGTGCATCCTCAGTCCGGCGCGCATGATGGTCGCTTCTATGGATAAGGATGTTCTCAAGGTCGTGATACGCGGTAATCTGGCTGTCCAAGCGAGGAGCGACAGTGTCATCAAGGACCGCTTGGATGAGTTGTACGTCGAGGCCAAAGACAAACCGTCGATCTACTACCAGCTCTTCGTCGACGACAACGGCCGATCTCCTACGCCAAACGAACTCGTCACCATTGTAAATACTATGGAAGAATACGTCAGCGCTACGAACCACACCCTCGCGAACGAGATCGACAACGTCAAGACACCACACGTCGATCTGCTCAAAAGCCAGAGTGGCTTTAGGAAGTACACATGGACCAGCTCAGGAACAAAGGAAGACAACACATACCGCGAGTTCCAGTCCGCCGCTAGGGTCAAAGAGATCACCCGCCTGATCAATAAAGTACGAGCGCGACTCAGCGGCCTGCCGCCAGCGCACCACAACAAGCCATTGAAGCATCCACTCGTTCACGTCGGATATTCAAACCGCTCCCAGGCCCGCCTGAAGAAATACGCCAACCACTCTCACTCCAACCCCGCCATGAACCTCGCCGAAGCAATCGCTGCCGTACTCTTCGCAAACAACACTCTTCCCAAACTATACAAGATGACCCAGTACATCATCTACATCAGCCACACCGCGTCCCACGCCTCGCTATCCGAGATCCTACTGACCAGGCTGGCCGAAGGCTACACAGGAAACGGGGGAGGATTCAGCCACTACCCTGCGGGCCGAAGCGCCGACTCTGCACTCAAGACGTCAGAGCAGGAATGGGATAATTGTGCTCAGTATGCGATTGAGAGGTCGCCGCTGAGGAAGAACCTAAAGAGCGATATCGAGAGGTTGAAGAAGAAAGTTGCGGATGCGAAGGGAAAGAAGCCGAGTCTGCTTATGAAGTCCGCCAACCATGCGTTGCTCGCGAGGCTAAGGGAAGTGAATCAGAGGAGGAAGGCTGGGCGGGAGGAAGCGGGACCGGAGGTATATCAGGAGGTGTTGGATATTATTGCGGAGTATCGGGGACGGCATCCTGTTTCGGAGAACTAGGCAAGTGGCTGAGGATGCGAGTTTGATTGAGAATGCGAGAAGACTTGGTGGTGGAGATGACAACTTGTAAAATAAGGCGATGAGTTCGGCCTTCATTCATTGACATAATGATAGAGTGACAGTCTCGCAGTCTAGATGAACACAAGAAGAAAGAATTTGATATATGCATGAGTAAAGCGAGTGAAGTAAATGAAGAGGAGATATTCTTGCATTGGTATTGAGTACATCTAGTCGTCTCGTCGTCCATGATCCTTCCTTATTCCCCCTATCTCCATCCGCCCATTCATCCCACCTCTCCTTATTTACCATCCCATACAGTCCATGTACATCCGACATATATTTTGTTCCCTTGAGCCATCCGCCCTGGTCTATCTAGATATACAGCGAGCGCGTTTTGGTGTCGTCGGTATGCGTAAAGTACATGCCCATCCATCTCCCCATGGCGAGATCAACCACCAGCCAAACCAGTCCAAAAACTCCAAAGAATGCAAGCCGAAGCCATACCACAAAGCCAGATTCCCATGAATCAAAAGAAGAAAGCGCATCAGATTCGTAAAAGCTGCTGCTAAGATGTTCTGCAAGTATGATACAGATCGTTATCGCGCAAACAACAGCACTTTTTGTGGTATGTATACTTTTGGCGTAGCTTCGTAACAATATCAGACAACGTCAAAAACATGACATAGCAAGTTTAACGCTTCCTGGGGTTCGTCGGCTTCTTCTTCGACGGTGCCTTCTGCGCGTCACCCTCAATGTACTTGAGGAGGTCCTCAATCTTGCGCTGATCGACGCCACCCCTTCCAGTGCGCTGGCTACCGGCGGCGGCAGCGGCATCACTAGCGGAGGGTGTGGCAGCGGCCGGGCGCAGGGGGTTGCGGCCGGGGAGCTGCATGCGGCGGATACGCGTCTTGGCGAGGTCGTTGAGCTGCTTGGCTTGGGAGACGGCGCTGTGGGTGAGCTGTTCGAGCCAGCTCTCTGCCTCCTTGGTGTTGCGGTCCTCTGCACCGAGCACCTCCTTGAAGATGTTGTAGGACTCACGCATGCGGTTGACACCACCGCGCATGTCCTTGTCGAGAGCGAGAGCCTGGGCGGTCTGGAACAGCAGAGTCGCTGTGTTGATCGAGTTCTTGCCGCAGACCTCCTCGCAGACGGCGAGCGAGGCCTCGAACCAGAGTCGCGACTCGTGGTACATCTTCGCGGCCTGCAGCATGACAGCGGCGTTGTTGAGGGTTGTGATGGAGTCGGGGTGGTCGGGGCCGTAGAGGATCTTCCACAGCTCGAGTGCGTGGCGGACGTAGATCAGAGCGGCTGTGGTGTTACCCGAGCCATGCTCGAAAAGACCGACGTTGAGGTAGGCAAGCACGGTCTCCGAGTGGTCAACACCAAGAGTTCGCTCGGACACGATGATGGCCTTGTGTGCGAGCTCAAGAGCCGAGACCTTGTCGTCAAGGCTGTAGAGCAGGTTCGACAGGGTGTGGTAAGCCTTAGCTACCTCAGGGTGCAGTACACCGTAAATCTGCTCGTGTAGCTGGAGAGACTCCAGGAGCAGTTCTTGGCCAAGCTCCTTCTGGTCCTGGGCAATGGACATGCGACCAGCCTCCAGTGCCTCCTCGGCCAACAAGCTCTTGGGTGAAGCCTCCTTGATGACAGGGACAATGTTCAGAATGTCGTCTGCGTGGAAGGTTTGTGGAGCAAGAGGAACAGTAGGGCTAGCTGTGCGGGCTGGCGGAGTGCTGATGGACTTGTTCTTCTTTTTCTTGGAAGATGTGGAGTGGCCGTTAGTTTGCGGCGCAGCGGGCTTCTCAGCCGGCTGGCTGGCGGCAAAGGCCTCCTTGGTGAAGGCGTACGACTTGCACTCCAACTGGAGACCAAGCTTGAGGGAGACCTCACGGAGCATCTGCATCTCCTTGCCAGACTCAATCCACGACTGACCGAGGTCGTAGCGGAATCGTAGGGCAACCTGAGCTACGACCTCCTTCTTGAGGGCCTCGGGTGTGAGCTTCTCGAAGCTAAAGTCATCCTCGGGGTACATCATCTTGAGGCTGCTGTCGCACTCAGCCACAGGCTTAGCGCTGACATCGGCGCCGAGCAAGCAGTTAAGGAGGTGGGCGGCAGCAGGTGCTGCGAATGGCGCGGACACGTTGCGCAGCTTGGAGTTGGCAAAGTGCTTGAAACCACGTGCGATCATCTCCTGGATGATGAGACGCTTCAAGGCCTGAAGCCTTGGGTCAGGCTTATCAGCCAGCTCAGCAAGCTTTCCAAGGTAGCGCATGTTCACACCCCGCTTGTGCAGAAGGTTGCTCAGGGACTGGCCGTCCATTGGGAAACCGACTTCGCCCTCCTTGAGCTCCTGAACCATGCGAGGAATGACCTCCGAAGTGAGATGCTCGCAAGCAGCGCGGACCTCAGCCTCGTCCTGAGCCCACTCCTTCTTGTCCTCCTCTGATTGCGGGTTCTGGCCCGAGAAGACATCAGGGTTGAGCGCGAAGGAGAATCCGGAGATGTCGACACGCTCCTGCTCAGGGTCCTCGGCCTCAGGCTTCTTCTCCTCGGTCTCCTTCTTTGCGACCTTGGCAGCCTTCTCCGCGGCCTTCCTCTCCGCCTTGGAGATTTTCTTGGCCTTGGGCATCTTCTCCTTCTCTTCATCAGAATCCTCCTCTTCCGAAGAAGACTCCTCCTCAGATGATTCCTCTTCCGAAGATTCCTCTTCAGATGAGCTTTCTTCAGCCTTGGCCTCCTTCGCAGGGGCTTCGTCCTTCTTTGTGGTCTTCTTGGCCATCTGCTCCTTGACGTACTCGCGGAGCTTGACCCTGCCGTATGACTCTACGAGCTCAGGGCGGAGTGTGGTCATGCGGTGGGGGTAGTCCTTATCAGTCGCCTCCTTCTCACCCTCCTTGCTGGGCTCGGTCCAGTGTGCCTCTATCCAGGCAACGTCCAGAGGTGTGAGGCGGTAGAGATCCAGAGCGTACCGCCTGCCGTCGGTGCCGATCAGACCCTTAGTCTCAACACTTCCCTCCAGCTCGTGACGGACATTGTCCTTGTCCCAGACAGGATGCTTCTTGACGCGCAGCGCCTTGGAAAGTTGCTCGAACAACGGGACGAACGACTTGTCATCGGCGACAATCTCCTTGCCCTCAACCGCACCGTAATCAATCTGGTGCTCGCCGGGGTCGCGCTGCTTGAAAATTCCGGGCACTATGCTCTGACCAACAATGCGCTTTCCTTGGTAGTCAACGACGACGGTTCCGGAGGTGAAGAGGTTGTTGATGTCGAGGTTGTTCACAGCGCGGACACCGAAAACGTCCTTGCCCACAGCCACGCGCGCAGCCTCATCACCACCCTCAGCTCCGAATGTGCCGACGCCATCAGCGCCGAAGGAGTAGAAGATGTTGTTGTACACGAAGATCTGCGCGTCCTTGGCCTCGGTAGGGTTGAGAGGCGCAATCTCGCCCCGTGCTACCAGCATGGCACCGCGGGTCGCAGCATCGTTGTAGTCGGCAAACAGCTTCGATGTGAGGCGCTCGCGGAAGACGCGGTCGTGGACAGCCTCCTTGGGCATCTCCCTCGTCGACTGGAACTCCTCATTCCAGTCGCGGAGGGTCTCCGTGTTCTCAACACCCGAGATCAGATAGCTCTCCTGTGTCCGCGCGAGATCCGGCTGGTGTGGGGTGAGGGATGACGTGGGTGCGGGGACCAACCATGGGTTGGCGGGGATGGCGTTGGAGAGCTGGAAGATAGTAAGCAGTTCCTTCTTTGCATTGTGCTCCAGCAGTTCCTGGAATGAAGTGCGGAAAGAGGGCGACAGGTCCTCGAGGAGAGTGAGGAGCGAGTGTGCCTGCTTGTCCTTGGGTGGCTGTCGCGGGAAGGGGTCGAAACTGGCATTCGACGACTTGTTGACGTAGAAGCCGGAGACGTGAGCTGTGATGTGGTGCTGCTCGTTCTCGTTGGTCGTAACTACCAAGTAGAGCAGGTGGCCCTTGGAGCGGAGGTGGTATGGCGGGGGATTCCAGGGCGATACGGCGATGGATTTGATCGTCTTGGGCGCGGCTTCCTCAGTGGGCGGCAGCAGGTTCTTGATGTTGCCCGATGCCTTGAAGTCGTAGTCTGCCAATGGCGACTGCTCCGGGCCGTCCTGCTTGGGCTTGGAGATCTGCTCGTGGCCGACAGTGTCGTGCAGTGACAGTCCAGCCATGATGCCGTGCAGCGCATCGGTACGGTCACCGGCAGCGCCGATGAGCTCGCGTACGCGGACCACATGTAACCGCGCCTCCTTCTCTGTGTATGGGTCCTCCACCAGGGTGAGTACCGAATCGGCCTTCAGTCCCTCGACTTCAGAGAGTTCGACGTAATCGTTGATCCGCTTGCCGTCGTGCTCCAGGTGGAAGCACGAGTACTGGAACGTGTGGGGCGTCTCGATGATGCTCTGACGGAGGTCTTGCACCTGCTCGGCCGTTGAGATCTGGAGTCGTGAGTTTGTCGTCCATATTTTCTTTTCTAACTGTCAATACGCACCGTTATCGGCATCTCGAACGGCTCGTGTGGGAGCTTGATGGTGACCTGGAAGATATCTGCAGATATTAGTATAGGTAATATCGATATAGTAAGTCAATTGACATACTGTCTGGCTGCTGGCCAGCGCCATCTTCCTCTGTGCCCTCATTCTGCCCCTCCGTGGTGACGTCTTTGCTGGGCGTCTTCTCAACCTCTGCGTTGCCATTGATGTTAGCCATGGGGTGCAAAAAGAGTTATTGCGCCTGAGAATAAATTTCCATGGCGGTCGTGTGCGGGCGGGAAGCTCACCAGACTTGGAAGCGTCATTGGTACTAGCGGCCATGATGGCGGGCTGTGGATATGTCGAGAAACACTACGACGCCGGGAAAGAACGACTGGGGAAAGAGGGAATCGGTCTAGGGAAGGAAGGAGATATACAGGACAGGCGCATTAATGTACAATGACATGCGGCGAGTGATGGGGAGAGAGGTGACTCTCCGGTCATGTCTCCAGAATATTTTTCTTGAGGGCGCCGGGATGGTCCGCTAAGCTCGCTCTCCACTTCCGAGGCCACAGGCATGTCATCGGGAAAACGGCCCCCATGCACCGGGGTCAGCAGTATCGCGTTGACTCCGGAGTACTGGAGTTGCCATGTCCTACACGCCGTGTCTGTCTTCACGTCAATTATCGATATGGTGATTGACGCGAGTTCCACCATGCTGTCACCACGGTCGCTCCTGCCGTTCGCACTTGGCACTCGCACTTGGCCCCTGCGGCAAATTATCGCAACACCAGCGTAACAAGGCCGCGGTACCTCCTTTGGCGTCCCTCTCCTCCAATCTCGTCCCGTCCATCTCAATCATCTCTCCTTTCACGCGTCTGTCTCTCGTTTAACTCTCATTCATTCCTTTCCTAGTCCATTCCACGTCTGTTGAACCTCTGGCTGCGCCTACGTTTGACACGTGTAACATTGGAAAGCACGCGACACCAACGTGACTTGGAACGCGCCAGCGCAATAATGTTAATGCTACGACATATCACGCGCGCTCATGCCGCGTTGACACGACAACCTTTCGCGTATCGGTCTCAGCAGGCTGGCCCGGTACTGCAAAGAACAAGGTTATGCCAGCCCTCTTTGGCGCGCGCTCTGAGTGGCCAATCCGGTCCTCCGACTCCTGGCAACGATGCGCCAAACCCCATTGACGACGCTGCAGAGCGTCTGGAAGAAGAGGAAGAGCAGCAAGAGGAGAAACGCGAGAAAAAGAAGGCAGAATGGAAAAGCACAGCCTGGAAGATGTTTGAGGCTGCTGCTACTACCGGAGCCAGCATCTTTATCCTTGGATGCGTCGGCATTGGTTATACTAAGTACTACAAATGGAACGTGCTTGAAAAGATGGAGAACGCTTTTCGGGAAGGCGATCCTGTATTAGAGCTTGCAGCTACTGGAAAGGAGATGCCGAAAGCGGGTGAGCCTACTCGACTACAAGTCAGCAAGGACCTGGACGGTGATGATAAAGACTATGATCGCTGGATCCCACGTGATGAGCAGGAAAGGATTGACAAGATTGTCTGGGGCGAGACAAAAGGACGCTACCATTTGCTTCTCGGCGAGAAAGGGACTGGGAAGACTTCCATGCTCATCGATGCCATGGATAAGATCAATGGTGAGGGATGTTCGATGATGGAAGCCCATGCAGATCTCGAAGTATTTCGTGTACGGCTAGGTCGCTGTCTCGACTTTGAGTACCACGAGGACAACATCGGGTCGCTTTTCTCTATCCGCGGTCCACGCGATGCGGGCGCCATCCTTGACATTGAGCGCGCGTTCAACAAGCTTGAGAAGGTAGCTTTGCGACGACGCGCAACTGTGGGCAGACCGCTCATTCTCATTATCAACTCCGCACATTTGATCCGAGACAATGACGACGGCCGAGACCTGCTCGAACTCATCCAGCAGCGGGCAGAGCAATGGGCGGCCGCCAACCTCGCAACCGTCATCATCAACTCGGACAAGTACTGGGTGTTTGAACGATTGAAGCAGTACGCTACGCGCATGGAAGTGCATCAAATCAAGGACCTCAGCAAAGACCGGGCCATGCAAGCCTTACGGAACTACCGGATGAAGTACTACGGCGAGAAGGTGCAAGACTCCATCCTCGAAGAAGTATACGACAAAGTCGGCGGACGCCTAACCTTCCTCAACCGCGTCGCCAAGTCGGAAGACATGGTCGCAAAATGCAACAGCATCTGCGAAATGGAAAAGATTTGGTTCCTGAACAACTGCGCGATTCTCGGCGAGGAAATGGACGACGATGTCATGGACCAGCAGAAATACGCTGTACGTATACAAACATTCGTCTAGTAATATGTGTGACTAACCCCCACAGTCCACAGCCATGGTCCTAGCCAACGCACTCTACAAACTCTACCACGACATGGAGTCAACCTACGACCCAAAAGAAGGCCACATCCTGCCTTCCTTCCCCCTCCACCGCGCCCGCTTCATCATGACGCGTTCCGACTTCATCCGCCAGCACCACGATCTCTCCATCTTCTCCATCGACTCGCACGCCGTTGTCCGCGCCGACTCCGTACCCATGCAGCGCGCCTTCAACGAGATCTGCGCCGAGCCTGGGTTCGAAGACTTCCTGGAAGCGACGCTTGAGCGTATCGGTGCGATTGAGAGTCTCGGCAGGACTAAGGAACTTACGTTCAAGGATCTGTGGGAGGGCGGCAAGTATCGCATTGTGCAGAAGGATAGCAAGGGTAAGGTGCAGGGCGAGGTGGAGATGGAGACTGTGCCTGGGAAGGGGGATGATGATGACGATGATGAGAAGGATGATTGAATGGGAAGGTTGGATGGGCTATGAGATGTTTGGACGTTGGGATGATTGGATTGTTATGTGTTTGGATGTACGATATGGGATTGGGTGGCTGGCTTGAATCTGCGTGGCGCTGGTGTCTTGTGGGAAGCCGCGATACCCTAGAATGTCAGTTTTCCTATCTATCTCCCTTGTCATGTTGCAATACCTAGTGAGAGAAATGGCGGCTGTTTGCTGCCCCACTCTGGCTCAACACACATCGCTAAAACCTCCGATATCTCTTTTCAAGCTACTCAAGTCTGTTCAAAATCACCTGGGCTTTCTGCTCAGCCCACCATGAGACTCTCTTTAACGCTCATAGCTGTCGTGGCTTCGATCGCTCTTACCCAAGATATAGCCAGCGATGAGCCTACCAAGGTACACGTCCTATGGGAACCTGAGAAGGTCGCGGATGACGCAGAATGGGCTGCAGCCCGCCAGAAGGGAGATGATTTGATATGTCGACTCGAAGCCACGGACGAGGCTGCTGGTAGACTAAATATGGACACACGAACACCGCCTTCGGCGCGCAATCAATGGCCCGATGCCGCGCTCACAAGTGAGATAAGTCTCTGGGGTTGGTTTACTGGCGAATATGACCAGAAATCGCATTGCCAATTTGCCGATGATAACGAAGATTACCATGTCAACAAGGTCGGTACGTCGATTGCGCGAGGGCGTTCATTCCTATTCCTCCTTGAAAGTCTTCAGGTTGGATATCGTTCTTGATAGATACTGACCTTCTATAGGGACTATGTTCCAGGATCTTGGTATCAATTCCAGGCCCCATACAAAAGGCGGGGATAATGTGTGTTACAGCATAGAACACTACAACGAGCACGCCGAAGATGACGATGGAGACACTCTTGCGGCGCAAGACCAGTACTACGACATCAATGGTGTTTGGGAGCGGTGTACCGGTGCGCATGTTCGATTCGGTATCAACCAACGAGGCGGACGTAAGTATCTCCGAGTGGACGTAGACTCACCTTCGTGCGCTACTGGCTCTACTCACGCACACCATACTAGGAGACATACTAACAGCTCAAAGTGATCATTGGTCTCGACTTCCTCAACCCTAGAACAGCAGCACTGGCAAATTGGGATGACAGCCCAGCAGAAGCTAGCCTTCCGGAGCTCAAGCGCGCCTCGGACATCATGATGGCGTACTGGCTTCGCGGCAATATTGACCCCAAAAGCCTCAAATATTATCTTGTGCTCACCATCAAGAATACGATGACTCTCGCTCTCATCAACAGAGTGTTGAAGAATCATGGTCTCAAAGAGGTACCGTACTGGCCTGGTGTGATAGCCAACATGTACGACGAGGAAGGCCCGGCGTTACTTGGTGAGTAGTCTTGAGCGCCTTACATTGCCCAGGAGCAAACAGGACGGAACCAGTCCTGGCCTACTCCCATACGACATCCAAGGGTTGTGGGTGGTAACGACGCTGACGCACCCCAGGCTCTCCATTGGGTCGCACGCTCGCTTTCTTGCTTTTCCAACACAAGGCAGAGCTGGGCACCAAGCATGTCACTGAGATTGTGATCTTCAGAAACAATTATCCCAAGCATTTGAGAGTTGGTGTACACTTGTTGTTCAGGATCAAAGACGTCCCTAATCCGGCCCCGGCCCCGGCCCCAGCCCCAGCCCCAGGCACAGCTTCATTCCGGTCTCTGAGACTTCGAAGTTCGGTTCTGGACGATGGGCGGAGGAATAAGATGTATCTACACGAAATCTTCCAAGACAACAGAGCTCTTGTTATGGGGAGCGCATAGATGAGTGGGGTGAGGAGAGGCGTTGTTGGCTCTGTCATAGAGGTCGAGATGGCGGGTAAGGCCCATACCACATAGTTAGATCTGGGTTTCGTGGCTATGGAACCCGGATTAAACAAGACACTCGACAAAATACCTAGGTACTGTCCGTGGGTAGACTCAGCTCATATGCCTCGAAGGAACTGACTCTGCTCGAGCAGTAGTCCTGCGATGACGTGCGTGACATCCAAACAGCGGACATATCTACCGCTCTCACATCCTTTACTATCGTGTGACATCAAGCCCCTTGCGTGCAGAAAGCGCAACAAATGACGTGAACGCCCCACCCGTGCACTAAGCATTCTCGCTAAGCAAGTCCCCACCGACATCCCGCTCGATGACGTCGCACCCACCCTCCTCCCAACCACATTTCCCAATCATCTTTCAACTTTCCCATCGTGATCTTTTCGCCGACCCCAGCCGAGACGCTGATTAATACTGCTTTCGCACTGTCATTCGTGGGTCTGGGGCTGCGCGTGGAAGTGATAAGCTTCAGCGAAGCAACGATGGCGTAGGATCGACGCTAGCACTGCGACGGTTGGCGGATGCTTGTTTCCCTTGTGGACTGGGCGGGTCTGGAGACGGGTTTAACAGTTAAGGATTTCGATTGCGTCGGTGATGGCTGACGGAGAGGGTGGAGGCGCGACGTAGGTGGTGTGGAGTGGCCAGGAAAGAGGACCCTTAAGTATGCAACTGCCCGTGGGACCTCGGGGAGGCTCGATACTCGCGCGGTGCTTACCTTACAGACAAGTTTCCTGGCTATCGCGACCTACACGTCGGAGGTGTATTCTATCCGGCCTTCCCGCGCTTCACTTGCCATCCTTCTCTCCAGCCAACATATCGCGCGCACTTCGTTAGACAACCCCATCTTTCATCTCATTACTAGCATCCATATCCAGTCACGATGGCGGTAATCTGGGGTCTCGACATGAAGGAGATGCAATGGGGCAAGTTCAAGTCTGGCTACATGTGGAACAACACGTATCACAACCGTCGCACGAAGTTCATCATCTACCAACTCGCCATGATTCTCTGCGTTGTCAGTGAGAGTCTGGGAACTGCTGCGCTATCTGGTATGACATATGCCCTCACCTCAACTCGATGTGGCGACGATACGCGTCTACCATCATCCAGCTTGACCATCAGCTAACATCCAGCAGACTACGTCGACCAGCAAAAGTTCGTCTCAAAGCTCGACCGCAACGTCATGATCCACAACAACAACTTCGTCGGCATCGCCTCGTACAACATCTTCGTCGGTATCTTCGTCGCCACCATCTTCGGTGCCGCATTCTTCTTCGATCTCTTCTGGCCCGAGCGACAAGAGTCGAGAGGCGTCATCAACGCTTGGAAAGCTTGCTCCGTCTTCGCTTGCATGCTTACGCTCTCCGACGCCCTTGCATACACTTACATCACCGCGAGCAAGAGTGCGCACCTTACCGGCACGGACTTCGAGCGCGGACAGGGCCTGTTGTCGCAGTTCAAGAAGGCCGGTGAGACTCCGCTCGCTTACAACAAGAATGGGCGGGCGATTGCTAGTGTTGTGTTCTTGTGGCCGGGCATGATCTTCACTTTTGTCAGGTAAGGCACCTCTATCGGTCCTATCACCTCAACCTAGGGAAAACCTGGACAGGTCTGGAGCCTACATCGACGTTAGGCCACCTAATTTGCAGGTTTTCTTCTTGATGTAACCTCTAGGGTGTTCAGGTTTTCCCTTGTATGAGGTGCTATCGTACCACTCTTACTGACTCATTTGTCTAGCACGTATCTCCTCTGGCATTCGCTGAACCACATCGACAAGCTCGGAGTCTTCTCCGCACATGCCCGTCATCTTGATGGCGCTCAAGATGGCGCAGAGCCCGAACCGAAAGGCAATGCCGTATAGAATTGGCTTCGTAAAACCATCACAGCCGATTCCCGTCCTGACCTCTCTCGTCCCGACCCCGCTGGTCCCGGTCTCTCGCCTCACCAGAACCACGAATTGCAGAACATAAGCAAGTCGCCCTCTGTCGTCACCGCGTACAAAGACGGAACTCCAGTCCGATCGGCTCCTCCCACATACAATTCTCATGCCGGTTCTTCTTCCCGTGGCGGTCCTTCCAGTCGTCCCGGTCCCTGGACTCCTCGTCGGGATTCAGAGCTGAACAAGCTGAAGAAGAAGCACAAAACAGACATCAGCGTTGTCAGAGACGGACCCGCAGACCCACCTGCTCTTGGAAGATGGGGAAGTCGGGATGCTGTGCATGGTCCTGTTGAAGAGACCCTCGTGCAAGAGACGCCTATCGAGACGCTTATAGAGCGGAACAGAGCCGAAGTGCGGAGGTTGCTACAGGAAGGAGATCCGGATAGGGATGAGATGATTAGGCAACGTAGTGAGGAGTTACTGAACAAGAACAAGGATTTCATCAGCGAAAGGCCGTTGAGTCCCCAGGAGTCTAGATGAGAGTTTGGTGAAGGTATTTCGGTATTTGATGGCGTTTAGGCATGAGTGGGATATTGAGTATTGATACCCTGGTAGCTTGTTTACTTGGATGAGAATGAATAATAGTAATTCTTCGATCGTTGCGTTAGCTATGTTGATGATGCACCTTATAAAAATAGAAAAACTGAACACCCTGGAGCCTACGTTGACCTTGGGCTACCTACTTTGTATGTTTTTACTATAATGTAGGCTCTACGGTGTTCAGTTTTTTGCCTAGGCTGACGTGGATGCACTGTTGTCATATGTCGATCCTGGATGTACATGCTGTGATGTTGTCTTCTTTATAAAAGATTGGAGTCGATGCCTAAAGGTGGGCATGTCGTACAACAAGGTGACAATGCTACCCACGTATAGCAATGTCTTCAACGCAGAGAGTGTCTACCTAAGTCCCTACTTAGCTACTTGGGGTCGCGGGTGCACGGTTAGCCTACACGTTCAAGTCCTCGCTGCATATCTTATCCATGAGCTACACGCCATCAGGAACATGAAAACCGAGAGTCTCTCTACAGTAGCTATCTCATACCCAGCAATCCATACACCTTTTTCCACGACCGCCTTCCCCACCACCACATACCCTCCCACCTCCCTCAGCCCCCATCACGCCACCATCGACATCCCCGGTTCCAGCCTCATTCCAACCCAACGCCACCACGATGTTTCTTTTGCCGGAACGACGGAACAGTGCACACCCATAGAAATATTATGAAACCCATCCTCGCTTCTCCGACCCCACCATCTTTCCATGCGGCAAAAAAGCAATCAAAAACAAAGGAGACCCTGTGAGAGTTCAAGCCACAGCAAGCCATGGTGACGCGACGGCTTGCGAGCGATAAGAATGATACGGAAAAAGAAGGAGGGAGATCTCGGGAGGACGGGAGGGAGCGAGAGATAGTGGTGGAAATGGCGTAAAAGCCACGATGACGTGGGGTATTGTATATATGGAATCGGAGTGGGAACACCAAGATTATGGGTGGAAAGAGCAAAGAAAGATGGGTTTGATACAGGATTTGGAGGGAATGGAATGACGCAGTTGCGTCGCGAGTAATGATGTCGTGGGATTGAAGGATGGAGGCGAAAGGGTAGGAGTCGTGTGCATTGCGAGTGTACGAGAGTCAGAAATAGTACCAAGGTAGTGAGGCTGGACTATGGCAGAGTCATGAGGAAGAAAAAGAATATGAGACTGTGAGAGGATGAGAATACGAGGGGAGTTGTAAGAGTCAAGAGTGTTGCGAAAGCGTATGCGAATACGAGAGATATGTGTGGATGAAGAGAGAGATGAATGAATTTGGGTGGTAAGGCGACTCCGTTAGGCAACGCAATGTATGGAAAGTGTCATCTCGACAATCAGCCTCAATTCTTGATATGTGGTTCGTGATACTCGCAGAGGTTCTACCAGGCATCGGTGGACTCGGCCATCATTGACTACATCCCAGAAACATCGCTTCATCTGTAATACCTAGAGAACAAGACATACCGTCATCTTCATCGGCATCATCATTGTAGCAAAGGAAGAATCTGTCCTAGGTCTTCGTCCGGCTTACCGCCACAACTCACCTCAACCTCACCTCAACCTCACCTCAACTCAAGCTTCTGTCCACAAAGAGCAACTATATCGATCACCAAGCTTCAACGTCTACAACATCAGCTTATTCATGTCTACAAACGAGCCTCTTGCGGCTCCGCTCCCCCCCCAGCCCTCCACCCAGCGGATCCGACGCCCTCCCCGTCAGCCTCCTCAACTCTGAAACCCAACGTCGCGTCAACCTACCCTCTTCCTCGGCAGCCCCGACACGGCCCCATCCCGAGGTCTGCATGTCATACCCAAGAAAGGCGTCTGACATAAGCCCCACTGCAACACATTTCCCACGTGGGTTCCTCCACCCACGTTCCCTGTAAACATGCGACAGCGACAGCGCCGAGCGATCGCATTTCAATGCAGACAAGGTGCCAGGTTTGCTTGTTCTGAATCTCAAACCATATTACTAAACCTGGGAGCTGAAGGGTTGCGTTGCATGAGCGGTTGGTCATGTGAGACGCAGGTGATGAGACGAGGGGAAGAATTGGAGATAGTTGGAGATGGGATGGGTTGCTGTTGTATTGTACCGAGGAGGCGAGATCGCGACGGTGTTAATGCCGGTGATGTGCCGATTGTGGGACCGAGGTTACCAAGGGTACTTGTAATCAAATCAATCTCAATCGCTAGAACTCTACCAGCGTGCCAGCCTACCTACCAGTCCCATATCTTCTCGCCTGTCGCCCAAGATTTGACAGCTGTACTGAATTTGCCATCTTAAACCCAACTTTCCAAATATTATTTCGATGGCGATTTGAAACTCGATGAAAAGGTTCCTGTGTGATTGCCTTGGTCATAAGTCATAATGACAAACGGAAGACGGGGCAGGGTACGGAGAAAAGCGCTCAAGCTCGGCGTAATGACATGTCGCAGCCCTACGCATAACCCCCGAGCCCACCTTGTCCCTTCCAGGTACGCTTTCTAGAAACACGTTCGCGCATCAAACGAACCAAGCCCTGTTCAGCGAGCGCGCGTCAAACAGATTGGGAGCTGTCATTCCAGTCGCGTGCATTCCAATCTAGCCATCGCACCTGCAACAACGCAACTAACATTCCAACCCAAACCCAAGGTCTTCACGACCGAAAACCGAAACAAGCACATCTCGTGTTTCCTGTGTTACGCAGCGAAAGCTTGCATATACACAACTGCGACAAATCATACGTACCACATCATCCCATTCCTGCCTGCCTAATCGATAAAGCCCATGACAAACTTCCTCCCCGTCGCGTCGTCGTTTCAAATAATCCCACCTATAAACTTCGAGTGGTGCCGGTCTGTCAAAGAATTGAGATCATCACTCGCAACCCGTGCCAACGGTGTTTCAGCACCCAACGGCGTCTTTACTAGGTATAGCGTACCACGTCCTGCCCGCCCATCCTAGGTACTTTCCTATCTGGGAAGCTAGCGTGGGAAAGCGTCGGGCTGGAAGGGAAGCTGACGCTAGTACAACACGAGACTTCGCGTGGAAGCTATGCCGCGGTTCGATAGGGCAGTGCTGGCGTTGCGCTGGGCTTGCCGCTTTAATCAAAGTTACGCGGGCTAGCGTAAAAGCGGTTCCCGTGTCCGCGAAATGAGGATGCGTCTGCGAAGGGAGGGATAAGTAGGGCTGAAGAAGGGTTTGGGGAATGATGCAAGGCCGGTAGGAAGGCTGGTTGTCTGTGCGCGCAGTGAGTTGTGCATGGACATGGATTGCGGCGTCATTGGGAACGAAGGGAAAATTGCGAGAGATCGCGATGGCTTGCGTGGTCAATATTGCGCGCTGGAGGATATGCTTGTTGTGAAATTTTTGGGTTCAGAAGTATCTAGGCAGGAAGACGGGAGAGAGAGCCGTGGGCTAGAGGACGTGTCTTGATTTGTTCGGGTTCTGCTTTTGCCGTTGGGCCTAATTGTGTGCGCGTCCATATCGATTGAACGCTATCGAGGTGATGAGCTAGCGATTAGCCAGCCATGAGTTTATTTGGAAATGACGCTTCGCCGTGGTTGCAATTGCGAGCACGACTTCAAACTGTCCGGCGATCGCTCATAACCCTAGAAATGGAACCTGGGCCTGCTATCTCCACAAGCTGAGGTGTGTTAGTGACGAAACAAAAAATAGATGTGGTGTGGGAGAGCGTGGGATGTGACCCGGTGGGCGGGAAGTTTCAAATAACGAGGAAGGTGCGTGGGGTCGTACCTTCTCATGCCAGCTGAGCAGTACGCTCATGGCTTGGCCGCCACCCTCGCCGCCGCCACGAGTATGAATCTGCGAGAAGCCGGTCGGTTGGGGGGTGATGTCGCGCTTGGTGCCTGACGGTGCTCCCTGTGCCATGCCTTTGTAACTGCGAGTACTTTCGTTAGTCTATGTTTCTGGATGTACGACGGTGGCGCGTGGTGATGCGGGGAGGCACGATGGCCAGTAGAGGTCGGTGGGCGGTGAGGCTTGTGAGAGACCCAAACGAGACGGTGGACGTACATGTACTTCATCAGGACGTCCAATGCTTCGGTTCCACCTGGTGCACCATATATCCGGCTGAGCATTGGTGACATGTCTGACTGGCGTATGGATTGTAGGATCTCGATGACGACCGAAAGGTGGACTTCCTGTGGTGGTGGACATGTCAGCTTGGTCCTGGGTGGTGCAATGTCGCCGACCTGGTCGTCGGTAGCCCAAGTCCAGAGACGCGGTGGTGATGTGACCAGGTGCCTATATCTGGAGAGACATCCAAACCGCTGGACTGGGAGTGTCGTGTCTCTGAGGTGTCTCTGGAGCTTCTAGAGCTGTCTGAGCTATGCAGAGGCGCAACGTACCTTTCCCTTGTCGTCTGCGCCATATGGGGGGTTCTCCAAGGCACTCTGGAGGGCGCCCTCATTGTCACCACCCCGTAGCAGTTGCCGTATTGACTGGGCGTTGGTCTGGACATCGGCCGTCGAGACAGGCGCAACGGCGGGAGCGAGGGAGCTTAGGTCGAAGTTGGCGGGGCTGTCGGGGTCCAAGGCGTCGATGTTGATGGTCCGCCAGTTAATGTTGGCCATGGTGGGTGATGAGACTCGTGTACGGAAGAGTATCTAGCTGCAAAGAGACGGCTGGGTTGGTGGTGGAGCTGTGGTGAGGTTGCAATTCGGCGCGCCGTATTCGTGGGGTGCAGTGCCATGTCTCCACTCTGCCCGCCAAGCTTTGAAGCTACCCAGTCCAGCGCCCGCAACGTCTGGCAAAACACCCACCAGGTCGCACGAACCAGGGTCGCCGCTCGATTCCGCTGCATGCGGATCGCTAAGGCCTATCGATGTACCCGCGACGGAGATCCGCAGCGCCACATGTGACACGGGAGTACCATGGGCGTGGGTGAAAGCCATCACAGCACAGGCAATGTCATCATCGGGGAGGTGAATTTGATAATAGTAGATGTTG